CTACTCTTGATCCGAAGTTGAAGCACTTCAATATTTGGATTCTGGCGAATTTTATATTTTCTATACTCTCAAGACACGACTCGAAATTTGACAAACGAAAAATGAGAGAAATAAAGTGAGGAAACCCTATTTCTCAAGAGTAAAAATTAACTCTAATTTTATATCTTTAATGATAATGGTTTCATGGGTTTATACAGAACCCATTGTATTGTTTGGCGTAAAAATGCAACTTTGCATCTATACAACCTACACCACTCATCAAACTACACGTCCCAAATTACAAATAATATGATGCAACAATTAAGAATAAACAAGATTAATTTTTTCATTCAATATTTTGAAATTAAGTATTATAATATAAATTTTCAACATTGACTTGACTGTTCGTCTATCAGTAACAAGTCCACATCTCAACCCAAATACAATGATGTCAAATGAGAAGGGAAAATGAGAAGGAAACTCTGGAGGGTAGAGGGAAGGAAAAGGAGAGAGAAAAGGAGGAAAAGAGAAAAGGAGGAGGAAAAAGTAGAAATAAAGAAAAACTAAAGCAAAGCATCACAAGGTTTAGAGATTTCAGCAATATTTGACAATAAGAGATGTCGACAAAAGGTAGAAGCTTGAGTGAAATACATTGGACTAAAAAAATACGACAAACTCAAGTTCGCCAATTCCTTAGCCATAAAATGCATCTCATCATAAACGTGATCAAGTTTACAATTCCATCTTTGTTTAACAGTTCAAGGCAAGCCTGCACCAACTCACCGAGAGGATGGTTCTCACTCACACCTTGAAGAACTATATGGACAATGATCAAAGAACTAAATGGACAATGAGAACAAAATCAAATTCCAATTTTACAAGTATTTGTTTAATAATGAAAATTTTTGGCTCACCATGTGAAAATTTTATTAGGCTAGCTGATAGTGTAAAAAAATATTGTATGTTTATGCATTTATAAAAATTTATATCTTTAAGCTAGCCTACTCGGTGAAGTCTCCGCCCTTATTCACCGTCACGCGATCTTTTTGTCTAATAATGCATTGCCATGTGCAAAGTATTTTCCACATGACAATGTATTATTAAATTTAAATGTCACGTTATAGTAAATCAGTTATATATAAGTTGTTTTCGAGAATTATACTAGTGAAGAGCTGACCGTGCCGCATACGCTTAGGCATGTGGCTCTATTATTTGCCTTGTACTAGTCATCAAATTCCAGTCTATTAGAAATCGACTTATTTATTTGAAAAAAAAAATTGAAAAAAAAAATGAAGAAGAAGGGGTTGACTGATTTTATTTTTTATTTATTTTTTGTTGACATGCATACTTTATGGGGTCATTTTGATGGGAACCTAGGATGCGAGAGTGATGGTAGCACCTTTTCCAGGTCAATGGTAGAGTCCACTTCACTTGGACGTCTTGAATCATCCATCAATAACAAGTCCACATCTCAACCCAAAGAGGAATACGATTGTCTGCCTTCCCAATTTTCATGTCCTCCTGTTTTGTGTAGTCACAGTTAAGTTACGTTAACATTTTATATTATTTTTTATAAAGATAATAAGACAAAAATGAATAGTAATATAAAATGTTGACGTGGTTTAACCGTGACCACACAAACAGGAGAGCATGGAAGGGCATGGAAAAAGGGAGGGCAGACAATCCTTGTCCAATATAATGATGTCAAAGGAGAGGGGAAAATGAGAAGGAAACTCTGGAGGGTAGAGGGAAGGAAAAAGGGATAAGGATTGTCTGCCTTCCCATTTTCCATGCCCTTCCATGCCCTCCTGTTTTGTATAGTCACGGTTAAGCCACGTTAACATTTTATATTATTTTTTTATAAAGATAATTATACAAAAATGAATAGTAATATAAAATGTTGACGTGACTTAACCGTGACCACACAAACAGGAGGGCATGGAAAAAGGGAGGGCGGACAATCCTTGTCTAGGAAAAGGAGGGAGAAAAGGAGAAAAATAGAAGGGAAAGGTAGAAATAAAGAAAAACTAAAGCAAAGCATTACAAGGTTTAGAGATTTCAGCAACATCTGACAATAAGAGATGTCGACAAGAGGTAGGAGCTTGAGTGAAATACATTGGACCAAAAGAATATGACAAACTCAAGTTAGCCAATTCCTCAGCCACAAGATGCATCTCATCATAAACGTGACCAAGTTCACAATTCCATCTTTGTTTAACAGCTCAAGGTAAGCCTGCACCAACTCACCAAGAGGATGGTTCTCACTCACACCTTGAAGAACTATATGGACAATGATCGAAGAACTAAATGGACAGTGAGAACAAAATCAAATTCCAATTTTACACGTATTTGTTTAATAATGAAAAATTTTGGCTCACCATGTGAAAATTTTATTAGGCTAGCTGATAGTGTAAAAAAATATTGTATGTTTATGCATTTATAAAAATTTATATCTTTAAGCTAGCCTACTCGGTGAAGTCTCTGCCCTTATTCACTGACACGTGACATTTTTTGTCTAATAATGCATTGCCATGTGCAAAGTATTCTCTACATGACAATGTATTATTAAATCAAAACGTCACGTTATAGTAAATCAATTATATGTAAGTTGTTCTCAAAAATTATACTAGTGATGAGCTGATCGTGCCGCATACGCTTAGGCATGTGGCTCTATTATTTGCCTTGTACTAGTCATCAAATTCCAGTCTATTAGAAATCGACTTATTTATTTGAAAAAAAAAAACGAAGAAGAAGGGGTTGACTGATTTTATTTTTTATTTATTTTTTATTGACATGCGTACTTTATGGGGTCATTTTGATGGGAACCTAGGATGCCATAGTGATGGTAGCACCTTTTCCGGTCAATGGTAGAGTCCACTTCACTTGGACGTCTTGAATCGTTCAACAGGAAACGCTTTTTGGGTCAATGCATGGGAACGGAAGAGGATCCTCTCTTGAGCTCGAGATGGGGATGTTCTTGATCACGTAATCTGGGCCGTTCAAATTTAATTCAACGGTTGCAATTATTATAACTTTTAGAGAACCTTCTGTTTGGAGTCGTTTGATTAAATTTGAATAGTCTGAATTTCGTGATCAGAGGATCCCCATCCTGAGCTTAGGAGAGGATCCTCTTCCCATGGGAACTACCCATTTTAAAATTGTTTGCAAATTTTCCTATAAGTAGATAGTAATGACCTAATTAAATAGGATCAGGATCCTCTCCTGAGCAAATAGAGAAGATCCTTCTAACCGAACCCATCGGGCTGTTCAAACTTTTTCCAACGGCTACAATTATTATAACTTTTAAAGGCCCCCCATGTTTGTAGCTGTTGGATAAAATTTGAACAGCTTTATGGGCCATGTCAGGAGGATCCTCTCCATTTGCTGAGGAGAGGATCCTGATCCAATTAAATATTTCCCATGTACAGAGATACTTGCATTGCACCTAGCAAAGATCAGTTTTTTTGTTTGTCCATCGATCCACATCAAACAGATCAATCATCAGAACCATCCATCCACATCAATGGCTCTTATGATAAAATATTCTATCTTTAGATTGTTGAAGCAATATTAAAAAATATAAAAATAACACAAGAATTTCAATAATAATAATAATCATAAAAAAAAATTCACAACATCAATTATGTATGAGATTATTATAAACAACTAAAGAGAAAGTTAGAAAAACTGATAAACTTGAAGATCGAGGCTTGTATAAATACATTGTCCTAAAGACAAAATTTTGCCCCTACTCTTAATCCGAAGTTGAAGCACTTCAATATTCAGATTCTGACGAATTTTATATTTTCTGTACTCTCAAGACACGACTCGAAATTTGACAAACGAAAATTGAGAGAAATAAAGTGAGGAAACCCTATTTCTCAAGAGTAAAAATTAACTCTAATTTGTATCTTTAATGATAATGGTTTCATGGGTTTATATAGAACCCATTGTGTTGTTTGGCGTAAAAATGCAACTTTGCATCTATGTAACCTACACCACTCATCAAACTACACGTCCCAAATTACAAATAATATGATGCAATTCTTTGTATCAGATGCAACACTTAAGAATAAACAAGATTAATTTTTTCATTCAATATTTTGAAATTAAATATTATAATATTTAATAAATATTATATTATAAATTTTCAACATTGACTTGACTGTTCGTCCATCAATAACAAGTCCACATCTCAACCCAAATATAATGATGTCAAAGGAGAGGGGAAAATGAGAAGGAAACTCTGGAGGGTAGAGGGAAGGAAAAGGAGGGAGAAAAGGATAAAAGGAAGGAGAGAAAAGTAGAAAAGGAAGGAAGAAAATGAGAGGAAATGCATAGAAATAAAAAAAATAAAAAATGAAAATCACCTTCATCATTATGTCTACTAATGGAAAAGAGCAAAATGCTCCCAACTACTCTTGTTTCTTACATTGTAAATTATATTTCGTATAATGAGAAACTAGTATTCTTACACAAGGATGTAGACACAACTTGCCGAATCTTGTTACTATACAGCAAGCCTATAACTGCATAATAATTCGATCAACCACCTTAAGTTTAACCATACATGTACCAAGATTCAAGTTTTTCCAAACTTTCCTTATGAAACTAATTGAACAGTACAAGTGCCACATTATTATGCGGTTCTATCAAGTTTTAATTTTTATCTTATAACCACATTATCTTTAGGACAATCAATCTTGCAGTTGAATATATAAACCTTCGAGATGGCGATATTGGAAACGCTAGTTGGTGGGTTGATTGGTAGAAATGGTTCCAACAATTCAAGAATAAGAAATGAGTATTGAGCAACGATCAAAGTATGTTGTATTTTATCACAAAATATTTTTGTACATATTAGAAGTGCATTTTATCACAAAAAGGTGAGCAACGATCAATATAATTGTAATTTATAAAATCACACATAAAACGGGAAGTAATATTTTATTTTTGTTTTCATCTCTGCCAAAGAAACGCTTTTTGGGTCAATGGATGGGGACGACCCATTTTATAATTGTTTATAAATGGGAATGACCCAATTACATATTTCCCCTGCTCACAGACATTTGCATTGCACCTAGCAAACACCAGTTTTTTTGTTTGAACATCGATCCACTTCAATGGCTCTTGTGAGAACATCTCCAGGAACCTCCTCTGATTCCAACACATTTCGGCGTTATCACTACGATGTGTTCTTGAGCTTCAGAGGCGAAGAAACTCGTAAGACTTTTACGGACCACCTCTACACAGCCTTGAACAATGCAGGATTTCTCACGTTTCGAGACGACGATGAACTCGAGAGAGGAGAAGACATAAAGCCAGGACTGCAGAAAGCAATCCAGCTGTCACGAACTTCTGTTGTCGTGTTTTCGAAAGATTACGCGTCATCCAGGTGGTGTCTTGATGAGCTTATGCTGATCCTCGAACGAAATAGGACCACCTCGGACTATGTAGTTTTACCAGTCTTCTACGATGTTGATCCGTCCCACGTGAGGAAGCAGACAGGAAATGTTGGAAAAGCATTTGCTAGAAGCCAGAAAAATCAGTCGCCGGAAAAGGTGGAAGGATGGAGGAAGGCACTTGCAGAGATTGCAGACCTAGCAGGCATGGTCCTACAAAATCAAGCTAACGGGTAACTTTCATTTTCTTATTTTGTCTTCTATTTGTTGTTGTTGACCTCTCTAATAAGATCACAACTAGAGATGGACAAAATACCCACGGTTACCCGTGTTGTGCTTTGGCCCGTTCGTCAGTGCAGAAGTGAGATTCAGATTATCTCACTAAACTACAGACCCACAGTTGAACAATTTAAATTACAAGAAATAAAGACACTGAGAAATTTACGAGATTCGGCAAAAACCTGCCTATGTCCTCGGAGATATATTGCTCTTCACTATGAGAATAACTAGTACAAGATACACTTGAGTTCAATCAACATAACCCAAACCCCAATCCCTTGTACACTCACAGAATTTTCCCAAGAGCCTCACTCTACCCCAAGAGTTTCTCACTCTCACTCTTTATTTTCTCTCCTTTGTGTTCTCCTTCGGATGCTCTCTCAATGCATTACTAAATGCACAAATATTGCATCTAGTTATAGTCATACACTAGCAACTATGCCAACAAACAAGACCAAAAAGTCTTAAGTTCACATGACATAATTATCACCTAGCCTACCTAGCATACACCAAAGTCTATATCTAGTCTATAAAGTACAACTATTCTCCATTTGTCATTTAATGCATATAAAATAAAACATGCACAATTGTGTGCAAGCAACCACAAAGTCAAGTCTTGCTTCCAACTTTGCTTTTGGTAGTCACCATGTCTTCTCTTGAAACAAGACATCCATGCCACAACCGAAAGCCAAACACAAAGTGGCTACTGCCATTTCCCTGTAGCACTCAGAAAGTTACACTATCAAAATTGTTGCCAACTCATAAGTATATGAGCCAAACACAACAACCCGCCCATTTAAACTTCACGGTTACTGTTATGGGTAACCGTTTAGATAAATAAACGGTTATGGATATAACCGTTTACCCGTAAAATTTAAATAGATGGTTATGAATATTAATCGCGGTTATAAATGGGTAACCATTTACCCATTTATTTTATATATGTAATGTTGAATATTTTAAAAATAAAATTTTATATGTATATGCGGCTATTTGACAGTAGATGGGAAGTTATGTTATTAACCCAACAATCACATCTCTTCAATTTGAATGTTGCATCTTTTGAATGTTGCCGATAAGACATGATTCATGGTCAACAAGTGTAATCCTTCTCCTAACCATGTTCTCTGTCGGACAAAACTTAAATCAATGCTAATATAATGTGGCTCATTATATATATTATGTTAATACTTTACATTATGGGTTAAATAACCCAAGAATACTATCTTCTAAACAGTTTTCGTAACCCAAGAATACTTAGCAAATATTATATTACTTTCATTGGTAACAGTTAAAAATATCGTCCGTAAACTATTATTTCAATTTTGAAATGCTATAAGGACTTAAAAAATTAAAATACGGAAATGTATGAAGAATGTTACCTATAACGGTGTTTAATTGTCAAAAAAAAGAAAATTATGACAATTTTTTTTTTAATTTTCAAGTTGTTAAAAAACATGTAGATGGGTGAAAATGGGTAATGGCAAAAAAAAAAAGAGAAGATAAACGGGTTAAAAGGGTAAATGGGTAAACGGGTATTAAACGGTTACAGTTAAATAGGTATGCGGTTATGGGTATGAGTATAACCGTTTAGGCAATTACCCAACGGATAAACGGTTATGCGGGTATGAGCATAAACGGTTATGGGTAAATAACCGTGGTTACCCGCCCATCATAACCGTTGCCGATCACAACCATGGAAGAAAATATCGATAATATCGGCGATATATCGCCGATATTATCGGCTTTTTCCCGAACTGATATTTTAAATGGTATCCAAGGTGTTTTCGTCATAATATCGCGATAATATCGATAATATCGCGATATTATCGATATTATCGCGAAATTTCGGAACTGTGCACGTCGGAGACAAACGTCGGAGCTTCTACAGCTCCGGCCGACTGTAAAACTGCTCCCTAGCCTCGCCGGAGATGGGTGTACTTATTCCTGAGTCGATTTCATCCCAAAAACCTTGCAAAAACACGACATATAACTTCAATTTCACATCTAAGCTTCGATCTAGAATATAAAAAGAAAAACCCGAAGCTTACCTACCTGAGAAATTGAAGGAACTCGCCAGAGCAGGTGCGATGGTGTGCGTGTGGGTCTCGGTGCAGAGAGAAGAGAGATCTTTGTGTGAGTGTGTGTGGTTGGACTGGGAGAAGGGAGAAGAGAGATCGAGAGATCTCTGTGTGAGTGTGTGTGTGGTTGGACTGGGAGAAGGGAGAAGAGAGATCGAGAAGGATCTCTGTGTGAGTGTGTGAGTGGTTGGACTGGGCGAAGGGAGAAGAGAGATCGAGAAGGATCTGTGTGTCGTTGAAGAATCCCCAACCTTTAAGAGACAAACCAGCAAGCACCTCCCTCGACCCACCTCGTTCCTCCGCCGCAAACCTACCCCGTGTCCTCATCTAACTTCTCTCCTCTGTCAACCCACCGCCGTTCCACTATCAACTTCACCGGTATTCCTCCGTCGGCCCCGCTTCCGCTCCCGCTTCCGCCTCGTCCTTCAACCTCTCTCCTCCATCGAAGTAGGTCCATAAGAATTCATGAAAGGGAGGGGATCTTTGTTCTTGGTGTATAGTGTGACGACGCTGCACTGATACAAATCTGTGATGGCATAGGAAAAGACAAGGACGATGCAGGATGGAGCAGAGAGGAAGTGAAAATGGATTATGGGGTGTTTGGATGCCTAGGTAATTGGATAAACAGGGTGTTTGGCTGCATAGCTTAAACATATAAAGTAGTACACATGTTCTCTTTTAGTTGAGCCATATCAATGGTCAATGAAAATTGGGTACCCACTTGTGAGTACCAAGTATTATCCGTGGACGGGAGACTTAAACAAACAAAACCATTGGCTTTGATGTTTGTAACTTGTAATTATGAGGTGGACAGGTAACGTGAAAGAGGTGAGGTGCACCTCTGATGGTTTTAACTTTTAATAAATGTTATATAAATTATAAATTATAAATTATTTAGATAATATTTTGTTTTTTTTACTAAGCAAGCAGATTATATTCGAACCCTCCCTTTGTCAACCACGCACTTAGGCTTTATCCAACTCGCTACAGATGTGTTTGTGATTACATATTCAGCCTGTAATATTTATATGGTCGTTAAGATGTCTGCAAGGCTTGCAAGCTAATATTTATTATCTAGGATAAATTTCTATATTTTAAAAAACACAAAGGTGAAAATTTTGAACCTCATAGGAACTCTATGTGGTACTAAGTCACTCATGTATCTTACCATGCAATGTATAAAGTGTAAAATATTGTACTAATTCATTATATATAAATGATTATGGTGTGTTTAGACTTCTTTCATTAATTACTACATATTTTATACACTCACAATGTTTGTCAGCTCACTATATAATCAACTTGATAATGTTAAATCCATCATGCAATGCATTTCCTTCCAATTTTTTGTGATAAACTAATAGATAATTGATTAAATAAACATCCTGCAAAGTTTCAATAAAAATTTCCAAGTTTTTCTTACAATTTCCTTGGTTTCCATGTAATTTTTATCGATATCGATATTATCCCGATATTTCCATCGATATTTCCGTGTTTTCGGACTACCGATATTTCCGATATTACCAATATTTTCTTCCTTGATCACAACATATTGATTTACTCAACACAAATGTTCATATGACTTCAGGTAAATTGCTCCAGTAATAATCCCATTTCAGGTCAATTAAGTTGTCATGATCTGTACCATGTAGCTGCATGGAATAGCTGTTAAGAATTATTGATCGAACCTTAGTTTAATTTTCTCCTCTGAATTCCATGAATATCAGACTTTGTATAATTGATTGATATCGAGTGAACAACATGTTTGATTCATCATTCATTTTATTTGCAAATTCTTAGGTACGAGTCAAAGTTTATCAAAGATATTGTTAAAGTGATTAGTGATAAGCTAAGTCGCACACACTTGAGCGTTGAATCAAAACTGGTTGGCATCCATTCTCGAGTCGAACCCATCAATTTATGGTTACAAGATCCATCACATGATGTTGGTATACTTGTTGTTTATGGGCTGCCTGGAATAGGGAAGACAACCATTGCAAAATGTGTTTACAATTCAAACTTTGAAAGTTTTGAAGGAAGCAGCTATGTTGAAAGTATCAGAGAAACTGCAAGTCATCCAGACGGCTTAGTTCAAATACAAAAGCAAATTCTTTATGATATTTTAAATGGGAAAAAGGAGAAAATACACAATGTTAGTGAGGGAATAATTAAGATTGGAAGAGCCATAAGCTTTAGAAGAGTTCTTCTTGTTCTTGATGATGTGGACCATGTGGACCAATTAGATGCAGTACTGAGGATGAAAGATCAGTTTCATCCTGGAAGTAAAATAATCATAACAACTAGGCGTGAAAGGTTGATAAAGGCACATGAAGGTATTACGGTGCATGAAGTTGGACCTTTGGGTTTCGATGCATCATTGGAGCTCTTAAGCTGGCATGCTTTTGGCCAGGATCATCCCCTTGAAGGTTATGAGAAATATTCTGAAGAAGTCGCACAACACAGCGGAAGACTTCCATTAGCACTCAAAGTTTTGGGTTCTTCTCTTTTCGGGGAACCTAAGCGTGTATGGAAATGTACATTGGAGAAGCTAGAGGTTATTCCAAATGGTGAAATCATGAATAATTAAGAATAATCTACGACTCTTTACAAGATGACCATGACCAGAAATTATTCCTCCATATTGCTTGTTTCTTTATTGGAAAGGATGAAGATTACATTGTCAGAATACTAGATGGATGTGATTTCAAGACAATCTGTGGCATTCAAAATCTCAGAGATAGGTGCTTGGTGACAATTGTTATGGACAAGTTGTATATGCATGATGTGATTCGTGACATGGGACGAGAAATTGTTCGTCGAGAATCACATGAACCTGGGAATCGTAGTAGATTGTGGCGCTCTAAGGATTCTTTCAAAGTATTGAGAGAAAAAAATGTAAGAAATGTTCATTGTATGTGTGTGTTTCTTTTTCTCTTGTGCTAATTAACCAATTGTTTTTCCAATTTCTTGTATAGGGTACGCAAGCAATTGAAGGTCTTATGTTGGACATACATGAACTGCTTACAGACAGTCCCATAAACTCAAACGAGAATGTCTTGGAAACCAATTCATTTGCAAGGATGCACAAACTCAAACTGCTCTATCTTAGACATGTACGACTGGACGGATGCTATGCAGAACTTCCGACAAGGTTAAGATGGTTGTGCTGGCCCGAATTTCCTTTGGATTCAATTCCTGTTGATTTTTCTTTGGAGAAATTGGTAGTTCTTGAAATGCAATATGGCAACTTGAGACAACTCTGCAAAAGAGCAAACGTATGTTACTCAACGCTTTTCAATTTTGTTTTCCTTCTTTCTTTAGGTTTTAATTCTTTAATTAATTTTATATGTTGGAATCAATTCCTAGTTATTTTTGTTTGTTTGTTTATTTTTATTTGTTTCTAGTTTCTTCCATCATTGAAGACCCTTGATGTCAGCCATTCTCATGGCCTTAGTGAAACCATGGACTTCTCACCTTGCCCCAATCTAGAGGAATTGATTCTTGTGGATTGCACCAGCCTGATTGATGTTCATGAATCCATTGGAAACCTGGAGAGACTCGTGTACTTGAATATGAAGGATTGCAAGAATCTTAGGATGCTTCCGAAGAACATGTGTTTTCTTAAATCACTTGAAACACTCATTTTATCTGGCTGCTCAAATCTTGATGAGTTTCCAGTGGAGATGAAGAAGAAGATGGAGTCTCTGAAAGTTCTTAAAATGGATGGAATTCCAATAAGAGAATTATGGCCAGCAAGAAGTTCAAGTATCTTGAGTTCTTTTCCATGCTCTTTAGTAAAGTTATGTATGGTGGGGTGCAATCTTTCTGATGATGCCTTCTGTAGGGATTTAAGTAGTCTATCCTCGTTGCGAACACTAAAGTTAGGTGAGAATCCAATTTGCTGTCTGCCAGGTTTCATCAAAGGTTTGAGAAGGCTCGATCATCTATCTTTCCAGGATTGTAGTAGGCTCAAATCGCTTGTGGGGTTGCCGAAAGTACACCGAAGGATAAGTATAGCCGGATGCATATCATTAGAAAAAATGACTTTTCATTCCCCTGAGCAACAGTCTACAATGTTCAGCGTGGGTGACAACTGGAATCTAGTTGAGTGGCAGTACGACTACAAGTTATATGTGGAAATGATCAAACTTTTGGGCGTGTGCAACTTGGGATCCTTGCCAGCCATTAGAATGAACGCACTGTTCGGATGCGGTGGTTCAAAAGAGGGTAAATGGAGTCCCGTCCAGGTGCCTCTCTCTCTCTCTCTCTCTCTCTCTCTCTCTCTCTCTCTCTCTCTCTCTCTCTCTCTCTCTCTCTCTCTCTCTCTCTTATAAGTCATTAATATATCATGGGAAAGAAATAACTGAGTAATGTTGTGATGATCGTGGCAATTACATAGGGACTGTATGAAAATGGTATATTCAGCACGTTTTTTGTTGGGAATAAGGTTCCAGGCCAATTCAGCTATAAAAGTACCAAGTCTTCGATATCTTTTATTGTCCCTTTACTACTTGCTAATCACAGAATTCGAGGCTTGAACATCTTTGCTACTTATGCAAAGGAGCAGAATTATAATAATTCTTTTAATCCAATAATGACTAAAGTGAGTAACAAGAGTAAGGGTCTGAAGTGGATCTATGGCCCAGAGTTCTATGGAATTCCAGGAGAGGGAGAACATATGATATGGTTGAGCCATTGGAAGATGGATAATGAAACAATATTACAATGTGGAGATGAAGTGCTTGTTTCAGTACACATGAGACCTAGTCAGTTTCAGCTCAAGGAGTTTGGTGTCGAGCTTGTGCAAGAGCACCAAGACAAGATGAGTACCCAACACAACACCAAATCAGGTCCTAATTATCCATTTGTTATCGGTGGAGATTTGGATACGTGGAAGTGCAGACCGGGAATATACTTCCTTGGCAGTAGGACAAGAGAAGATACTGACGACATTGATATCCTCACCATGGACTGTGATGAAGAAGACACAAGTATGTTGTGTTGTTGTATTGCATTGAATTATACTTCATCCAAACACTTCCAAGTGTGTCCGTATTCATTTCAAAAACATTTCCAATAAGTTTTATGTTATTTGTATGTTTTTCAGCCAAAGAAGGGCAAGAGAATGAACCTGATTACACAATTGCAAAGACGAGGGTTGCTAGCAAAAACTGCAGTCTCGAACGCTGGAAGGTGCTCCTCACAACTGCTGGCTTCTTTTTCACGCTTGCTCTAGTAGTTCAGTCCTCCATCTCCCAGAAACTGAAGCGACAGTAGTCCACAAGGCTTCCATGAGTTTATAATTTGACTTGATATAGATATATCTTTACATTCCTTACTCGCAAGATGTTTTCTACCTTCAAGTGCAATGACGGTTCTAGAATTCATACAGCCGACCCCATTTAGTAAAATAAGACTTTATTGTTATTAAACTGTTTGTGCGGTAAGAACTAAGCGTGAAAAATATCTTGTTTTGTAGTCTCTGGTTTGAACATTAAAGAAAATCCAATGCCATTATGTGTTTAAACCAAAATTTTCCGTTCTCTTTTTCCTTTTCTTCAAAAAATAAATTTGTACTCTAATGTCTAGGCATGAAGAGATTCTTAGCTATCTCCGGGTATATGTCCCTCTATTTATTTCTCATGGAATACACAACCGGTTACAAGACAGATTCTCGAATCTCTCTCACCATGCATGAAAGTTCACGTCGAATTACCAAATCATATTCTGAGAGAGAATTAAGAATTACATGCAGATTAACATTAAATTATAAGTTTCTAATAACACAAATTATTATTTATACAAAAAAAATTTACAAGATGTGTTCATAATTAATTGGTAATTCTGATCTTAATTAACTAAAAGGGCCTTGAGGACATGTCTCAATGTATATGCTTGTCTGTGCAGATCGTCTTCCTCCTCCTTTTCTTCATCCACAAGAAATCAAAGACATGCCCACAAAAACCCACACACGAAAAACAAAAAATTAATAAAAATAAAAGTCAGCGAGAAAAGTCAAACAATGCAGATCTGATCCTACCCGCGCCACACCCGATCAAATCCCGAGAAAATCAGTGGCGGACCGAGACATGATGGTCGCGAATTCGTTGAAGCTAATGACGCCGTCGCCGTTCGTGTCGGCCTCCCTCATCATATCGGAGAGCTCCCGGTACGTCAAGGGGTGGCCCATTTTGGCCATGGATCCGGCGAGCTCGGCGGCTGTGATGTAGCCGTTGCCGTCGCGGTCGAACGACCGGAAGACCTCCATGAGCTGCTCCTGGTTGATCAAAATCTCCTCGTTCATGTCTGGGAGGATGGCGGTGACGAGCTCGTCGAACTCGATGGCACCGTTGCCGTTGGCGTCGATGTTGGAGAGGAAAACGTGGAGCTGGTCGCCGGTGGGCTTGAGGCCGAGGGAGCGGAGGAGGGCGGCGAGTTCGAGCTGGGTGAGGCTGCCGTCGGAGTCCATGTCGAATCGCATGAAGATGTCCTTCAGCTGCTTCAGTTGATCGGATCCGAGCGCGGCCATCATTAGTATAACGGCGGCCGAGAAGAAGAAGAAGAAGAAGAAGAAGAAGGAAGGGATCGAGAGATCCAGACGATTTGAATTTTGTGAGATTTTGGGAGTTTAATTTCGGGTGGATTGGGTTTTTTGTGTGTGGCGCTGATTGGTTTGTGTTTTTGGGTTTTTTTTCGTTTTCGTTTTTGTTTTTTGAGTTTTAATTTTTCTTGTGTTTGGATTAAAAGTTTAAAAACTGAAAACGCGTTTTTGCCAAGAGTTGATCAATTGCTACGTGGTTATATATTGGGGGGGATGCTACTTAGGGGCTGTTTGTTGATTGACTATATTCAGGAGAAATTTTCAAGTGTGTCAAGAATATTTTCGGTACATTAAGTGCCATAATACCGTTGATTGGAAACTTGAAAAAAAATATTCTTACCAATTATATCATGACACTTGATATATCAGTCCGTATTCCGGCACAATGAAAAATCTCTCCATATTTATGACTTAAATATGTGTTTTTCTATTTTGGGAATAATGTGTTGATTTGGGTCTATTTAAGTTTTGAAGTAAATTCAACGCGCTGACATTTGTGAGTTAAGTCAGTTGGTCAAAGTGATGCATTTGCTTCTATGCACTCAAGTTTGATCTCAATTCCCATAGAAGTTAAACTTATTCTAACGCGTTTAGTCCAATGTCAACTAAAATAAACTTTCGATTATGCCGGATTAATTAATTGATTAATTAACAACTTTTGTTTTATTTTTATCAAGAACATGGCCTAGCTGTGATGAGTGTTCAATCATTTTTATTTCTTCTTTAAAAAATGGGATCAGCAGGTGGCTTTATCACGATAATCTACTTTTTAGAGGCCGAAAAGATTTTTAGAGTCATTTCAGGCTCCTCTAGTTACCATCGTGTGATTGGAGCTAACATAATTAGGTGAAGAACATTCGAGATTCAATGTGTAGAATCTATGTGAAAGTGGCATTTTCTTAGAATATGCAGAGAGCTTCAATGACAACATATTTACAAAGTTGACATAGTTTGGTTGTGTAGACGCGTGACAATAAAGACTTATTTGACATTTATAAGCATGATGTCATTATATTCGAGATGTATGATAAGGTTTAAGAATCCAAGCCTTTGATATATACCAAGGGATGCCATATATATGCATAACCTTCTTCAACATTTGTTCCATTTGAATTGCGTACATTTTCATCATAAAACGAAATGAATGTGCCACAATATTTTGATCAATGGCTACTAAAACCCATTTCGATTATACCTGTCACTCTACATTTATTGTCACGCGACTAATTATGTGACAAGAGATGTCACGTGACTGGAAATGCAGAGAAATGAGGAACATACGAAACATGTTGCAGGTAAGTTTTTTCGCGATTGAATAGCTACCTAGCTTTATGATCAATAGATGACAGAGCCACCATTTCAATCAAGTGATATTGTACAAAACTAGTATCAAATGGATCATGATTTGGTGAATGATGAGTTGGGGAGCAACCCAATTCTCCCCTACCCCAAAAGCTTCCAAATCCAAACTCTCCTCTCTGAGAAAACTCCTGCAGCACCTCCTCCACCTCCTCCATGCAGCGCCTGCAACTATGTCCTCCTCCTGCCTCCATGGATGATCTCATGGACTCTCCGACAACACTCGCAAAGTCAACGTCTTTACATGTATCCAACACTATAATCTCTTTTCTCCTTCTCTGTTGAAGCTTCTTCATGGTGTACTCTCTCGTCTTTCGGATCAACTTGCAAGGGAGCTTGTACAAGATGAAGATGGTGATTTGGAGGATCAAGCACTGGCAGCAGCACGAAATCACAACGCAGTCTGCGGCAATCATGTTGCAGTCTTCCATGGCTGCGAAAATCGGGAGGAAATGGGTGGTGGTGGTGTAGAAAACAGTTTAAAGAAATCTTCATGCCCCGGTGGTGGTGGTGTTTAAGGAATAAGTTCCTTGCCTTTGTGGGAGGTAATAGGAAGGGTGAAGCAATTGGAATGATATGTGGCGCTGTATATGAGTCATGACTTCAATCATTGTCTAACATTAAAAAAAAAAAAAAAAAAAACTCTAGCTTCCAATAGGGGCTATCCAATATAATCGAATTTCTTTTTTCAAACGATATTCTAATTTAATCTAAAATACGGGAAACAAGCTCATTCCGTTCTGCAATATATTAAAATATTAGGATGTGAAAGGGAAACATAAAAGCTGTTGTTGCTTGGCTTCTACTTCTCCTTGGTGGAAGATTTCTTTGATAGCTTTAAGCATTTCCATAGAAGGTGTCACGGAGCTGTCTTTCAAAGAAAGTTCTCTCCCCCCTCTTGGAAGACTTGCAAATTTATATATCTGCAAACCCAGTTTACCCCAAATATTTTAGCACGTGACGAGTGAGACACTTGTAAGAATATATCCCGGGGTATACTCAAGATTTCCGTGTTTCTGAGGATGATGGGGCGGCCTGCAGGCTGATTTAACAAGCTCGAAATAGAGGGGTACGTATTTTCGATCTGAGATTGTCACATATAAATCACAAAACATGGAGTTGTGAAAGAGGGGAAGCAAAAGAGGGAAGAATAGGATCCATGGTTAACAAAATTGAATTATTACCTTTATAACACCACCAAAAATATTGGTGGATGCAACAAGATCATCATACATAGGCTAAGTAATTACAGGGGCAAAAAATGGCGGTCCATAAACGTATAATATAGGCGGAAGCTAAAAATGGACCTTCACAGGAACGATGGAACGATCTATACATCCGCTGCAGTCAGTTCCAGTTGCAGAAAGATCAGGTCCCAGCTGAGCCAATCCAAATCTAGCTCAATCTGGCAAAACCCCTTTCAGCTAAGTGTTTAACTCTCCGAATGTGTACTATACCTCTTCGCTGAAAAAATCTGTACTGTAATTTTGACTACCAAATGCCATTCTCCGGAACAACCTAATTTCAGCTGATTGTTGTGCCGAGTCAAATGCCTCACTTTCCCCCACTCTCATTCCGTTGTTTATATCGGAAGCAACAAAACTATCAAAAGCTCTAACAACCTGAGGAGAGTGAGAATGATGATGTTAGCTTAAGCTGGTGAAGTGAATGAATTCACATTATAAAAAAATTTCAGCTTCTTATTACCTGTCCCATTCGTGGTCTCTTAGCAGATGAATGTCGCACACAAGCAGCAGCAATCTCGATCATTCTGAACATTTCAGTATCCACATAATTCTTTTCGAGCCTTGGATCTACCACGCCGTCAAAATCTTCATTATCAAGAGCATAACTCAACAACGGCCGAGCCTGGATGGTAAAATGCGTCTCTTGTCAGGAAAGCTTGGGTTTGACCTTAGAACATTCAGTTGGTTAACTATACAGTTTTATTTCATTCAATAAACATATTGTCAATTTGTTACATATATGTCTCCTATGTACAGTCTCACATCTTTATTATGCATTTATCTACGTACTTTTGAAAAAATTGAAATGAATTCACAACTAAGGCGAGACTAAATTGTGCCCGCTGAATCCAGACAAATATTGACAGCATAATCAGAGAGTGAAAAAGATTTCATGCATTGAGATTTCTTTCTGTAAGACGGTTCTGGAGTTTCAATGCATTCCTTGTTTAAAAACTATAGGGCCAGAAGATCTCACTCAATAAATTGGGGACTTCAAAATATTCAACCGAAAATATCAAAACATTATTATCGAATTGAAGCAAAGTAATATAAACGCTGCAGCATGATATGTCCAGTATGAAAAGAGGATGTAAGTTTACCCATTCAACTAGACTCTCATCTCCCAAGGGTTGGGATGTATCTACAGGCTTCCGTCCAGTGATCAACTCAAGAAGCACAACTCCATAAGAGTAAACATCAGACTTCTCAGTCAATTTCCCACTTGATGCATATTCAGGAGCCACGTATCTGAAAATCAAGCGGAATCAATACATTATCAGGCATGAAAGGTATGTTTGTGATGACAGTATAAATTAAAATATAGAAGAAACCTCAAGAATAGCTTTGATACAAGTAGAAAGCATATGGGCCAACACTAGATTGCTGACGTACCCAAACGTTCCCATCACACGTGTGCTTATATGCGTATTTGCATCAAGCGCTAATTTGGCAAGTCCAAAATCTGAAACCTGTAAAGTAAAGAAGGAAACCATGAGCTACAACCTAACCAAAATATAGGAGTACTGAAATGTGCTCTGAGTGAAATCATGCTATACCCGAGCTTCAAAGTTGTTATCTAAAAGAATGTTTGACGACTTTATATCCCTGTGAATAATTCGAGGATGACCTGACATTAAACAAATAAAACCAAACTTGGTCAACAAAACACTTCCAGTTAAATTATGTAACCGATAAAACAATTGTACGAGGATATAGTAACCCAAACATTCAGCTATCAGAATCCAGAAACTCAGGGTAGATAATTACAATCTTCATGAAGATAAGCGATCCCACGAGCTGCACCAGCAGCAACCTTAACACGTGTCGCCCAGTCCAGAACTGGCCTACCTTCTCCTGAAAATTGCAAGGTGCAAAACATGAGATTACGGAACCATTATCACTAACTGTTACTTAAAAGCTCTGTTATAGATATACCATGAAGATGAAAATAAAGGCTATCGTTAGCAACATATTCATAGACGAGCAGCCTTCGATTATCAGAGATGCAGTACCCAACCAGAGAAACCAAATGGCGGTGATGTATGCGACTAATAATCTCAACTTCAGCCTTGAATTCTCGCTCACCCTGACCCCCTCCAATTTTTAGTTGTTTTACTGCCACCTCTCTCCCATCTGGTAGGCATCCCTTATAAACACAACCAAATCCGCCTTCGCCCAAAAGATTCTGAGATGAAAAACCATTTGTGGCCTTAGCTAGTTCTTCAAAAGTAAACCATGGTCTTGAATTTCCAACTCCTGCTTGTTCTGGTGGAGGACTCATGAACTCACTGCCAGAACGGCTTCCAACAAGGGGAGCTGAAGAATGTGCCTTCAAGAAGGATGAATCTGGAAACAAGTTACAAAAGCCTTCTTAAATACAACGGCTTATATGAGCTGATTAATTTATCCCATACCCTGATCTGAGTGAGGCTAAATATACTCTTAAAATAGTATGTTGAACTTATTGAAATTTAGAAATATCATTAAACAGAAAATCCCACATTCATAATAACAAAACAAGGAATCAACTGCGTTATGTATGATTGAAGGTACCTGATCGTGGAGAAGAATCCATAGTGGATTGCATAGCATAACCTTCAAACCCGGATACTTTTTTCTTTTGCCTCCTCATGCACCATACAATCAACCCAACGAGACTAAGCACTACTGCCCCTACCACTACTCCAATCGCCACTATGCCTCCGGTACCAATGCCGTTGGAATTTGAACTTTGTGGTGCATTCGGACTGGAAGTGTTTGTTAGTGGACTTGGAATTTGAGAATGAACTGGTGGAGAAGCCTGTGAGGGGGGAGGTGGTGACATTCTTATGATGGGTGGTGGAGGTGAAGGGGTTGGTTGAGAACCAGGTGGGGCTGGAGTAGTACGGCTAGGAGGCGGGGGTGCTTTTCTGGGAGGTATTGATGCTGGTGGAGGAGATGAACTTTCAGGGGGGGTTGATGCTGGTGGTGGAGGTGAACTTTCACGGGGGGTTGATGCTGGTGGTGGAGGTGAACTTTCACGGGGGGTTGATGCTGGTGGTGGAGGTGAACTTATGGGTGGCACAATTGCTGGAGGTGGGGGTGAATTCGGTGGTGGGTCTGATGGTGACGGTCGTGGTGAAGTTTTGGGGGGACTTGATGGAGGTGGAGGAGACTTCTCAGGTGGCGGTGAAGTTTCAGGCGGCTTTGAAGAGGGTGGAGGTGGAGGTGAACTCACTGGTGCGGGAGATTGCGGCGGAGGAGGTGAACTTGCAGGTGGATCAGATGTTGGTGGTGGCGGAGAAGGTGAACTTTTCGGTGGATTTGATGATGGTGGGGGTGGAGAACCAGAAGTTGGTGATGGGGGTGAAGAATCAGAAGCTGGTGGAGGTACATTGGATGAAGGCGGTGGTGGCGAGGTTGGCGGTGAAGCAGATTGTGGAGTTGGAGGAGGTGTTTGTGTTGGAGGTGGTGAGGATGTGGTTGGAGGAGGAGCTGATGAAACAACAGGTTGCGGAGATTGAGTGGTTGCCTTAGAGGACTCTGGTGAATCCAAATTCGGCTGAGAAGACGGTGTCGGTGTGGCGGTTGACGGCGATGTTAAAGTAGTATTGGAAGCTGGCGGCACGGCGGATGGAGACGAATTTGGAGATGGCGATGTGGTTGCCATCTAACTAGACCCAAAATCCAGTGATGGATACCATATAACTCACACACCACAACCTTCAATCAATCATGAAATCTTCAATCTTTTCACAAAAAAAACAGAGCTTTCAATACAAAAGGCCAAAAATTAGAGAAAAACCCAAGCGACAAGTTTCAAGTCTTTGTCAAACCAACATCTCCAAAAACTTCAAAAAATGGAATTCCCGAAATTCCCCCCACCACCAAACTCCACCAACCAATCACCTCCAAAACATCAAAATATTCTTCTGTGATCAAAATCCCAGAAACCCAACTCAGCAAACAGGCTTTTCAGATCACTAACTTCAAAGAGTGTGAGAGAATTCTAATTTCACAAATATTAAAGTAGCAATCTTTCTCTAAGTGAACACTCAAAAATCCAAACTTTAAGTGACCAAACGCAGCAGAAGCAGCAATATTATCACAAATTGGTACTAATAAGCAAAACCCAAATGGTAAAATCTGGAAAGGACTTACCTTTACTTCGTCAATGATGGCCAAACAAAAACCCTAAACTTTGATCTCTTGAAACTTCCTTATCTCCCAACTCTGCACCGGAAGTTCAACACACGGCTTGTGGGGTCTCAAATGTACTCTGCGAAAACTGAAAACGACTCCGAAAGAAAAATTATTATTGTTTGATGACAATTTATATGGTATTTTCTTTTTTTTAAACTCTTTCTTTTTTTCTTTTCTTTTTTTTGAAAAAATAATCATAAATATTGACAGATTAATGTGGTTGGCTTTTTTTTCTAACGTCCATTTAGTACTACGCAACGTAAACGCATTGTGCAATTTGGTCAGCGCAATTTAAATCTTATGGAGTTTGGACCTTTTCCATTTGTTTCCTTTCAAATATATTTAGATTTCATAAATTTGTTTTTATAAAGTTTGATACGTTATAATAACTATCAATTAATTGAATATAAACAAAATGTTGTAAAATAGTATTATCAAAATTTTGGCTTTTCATTCTGTTTCCTCTTATGATTTTTTAATGATTTTCACGCGAGCAATATCATACGTCGGTAGAAAATTTCCGGCTCAATTTTTTTTAAGTTTGAAAAGATATGGGAGATATGTATTAGTTTTTGCAGTGTGTTATTACGTAAGCTGTCATATAAAATGGAATTATTCTATAACTATGACAATTAAATTAGTAAACTATTCACCTCCCTAAAATGTTGATTTCGTCCTTAAAGACAATTTAATACTATAAACAAATAGAATAATCACTGTAATGTGCCTGTAGTCTGTAGTTTTTTGGAGTTTAATTTTGGAGCCACGAGTTTGACAACATTCTTTAATGCCACCAAATCCAGCTTAGTCCAACTTTCTTTTTTTTTTTTTTTTTTTTAATTTTATATATATATTCGTTCAAAATTTTGTAAAGAATGTGCTATTTACATATTTATTTATTTATATATTTCTGTTTATTGATCTTTTGATCATCTTCAATTCATTTAATTCGACGGTTAAGAATTGAGAGGTATGACGTGTAAAAGATAAAAAAAAAAAATTATATATATAACACCACTATTTTGTAAATCGGCAATTCAGCAACTCAGCAATATACATATATATACACATATATATACATACATATATACATATATGCATATTCTCGATGGGAACAAGGACAATCTCCGAGCATAATCTTTTATTTTGTTCACATTAGAAGAAAAGACTACATGCAGGGTTAAAGTAATCCGTTAGTTTATGGACAAGCGATAGGATGCTATGAAATATAATATATTGAATAGCGGGTTTAATCTGGTGGCGGTGGGGCCGGCCCGGCATGGATAAAGAGAAGTAATTTTGTGTTGTGATTTTATAATTTAGGGAAAATTAGAATTTCCTATAGTTTTTTTATATTATTTAGATTAAACATTTGTGTTTTTTTTTAAATTTGATTAAAATGCTTTGATCAATAGTCACCTCTATTTTTTAAAATACTATTTATCGTTTTATCTGCATGATGCACTTTTCCTTATTTAGTAGAGATATTATTAATTAAACTATATTTTCTCTTCTTCCAAATATGTTTTTTCAATCACAGGTTTTTTTTTTCGTTATGAAAACATTTAATATTATTTCTTTTTCCAAATGGTTTTTCTTTTTTCAAATAGTTGGTAATCAACATAAAAGTTCCATGTAATTTTTTCAATTTTTTTGTGAAATTATTATTATTATTTTGCTGTTTTTTTTAGTATAGTTGTTGACGAATTATTATTAGGTACAATACATTACATATATATTATCTGCGGGTATGTTTGTATTTACAAAATTTTTTAATTTGTACGTTTATTTGCAATTTTGGTACGTTTGATTTGATACTTATTGTTAATATTGTTACATTATTTTTATTTTGGTACGTTTTATTTTGTACATGTATTGGTATGTTTATATTATTCACAATCTTATTTTCTCTTAAAGTACTAAAAGAAAAACTTATTTCGGTACGTTTGATTTTGGGGGATTTAAAAATATTTTAAACTATTTTGGAAAGAAAATATCTTAAATTCTAGATAATTATTGCTAAATTGTAGCATTATTGTGAAAATAAATTGAATCTAACCAACTTTTTTTTTTTTTACAATTATCTCTAATGGAGAAGATAGTAATCAAAAGGTTAGATTATAGGAAATTTGTTACAATATAATGTGCATATAGCACCAAAATTATAACAAAAAAAAGTTTAATCAAATCACTAAAAGACATGGATGTTTGATCTAGAAAATTCAAAATTGAGACGCCTATATCAAAAGATCCCCATAATTTAATAGGAGGAGCATCGTCTCTCTCACAGAGGATGTCTGCAGAAATTGTCAAATGTTTGAAAGTGGAGGAGGTGGTGGGTCAGTGCCCTAATTATGCCCCGTCTGTTGCTGTTTTTCTGCTGCTGCTGCCCGTGAAGCTCCTCCACGGGCTGCTGTTTTGGATCTTGACGTCGAGATTGCTCGGTTTCAAAGCTACCATGGTATCATTTGAGACCTGAAATCTAAATCCTAAAATGTGATTTATCTACGACAAAGAATGCCCACGCATATGTAAATCGATTAAAGTAGTGTGTTTTCTCTTTTGTATTTAAGTTTGAATTTCTTCGTCATAATTTAAATTACTAATATGTAAAATGTTGTTCGGTGTTTACTGTTGTTTAAAATTACAATGGCTCCTTTATTTTTCTAAGTTAATATGTGGAGTAATGCTAAGTAGACCGAATTTCTAAACCAAATTTGCATTGGATTAATGGGTAAGTTGGTAAGTGGGTTCTTTTTTTTTTTTTTGCAAAATTTAACTTTTTATAAGAATCAATAAATTTTTTTTTTCAAATACCGGATATTCAAATGGTACTCTACATGTCATAATACATTTTTCGTGTTCCTATACCTATTTTATAACACGTGAGTGCTCATTTAAAAACTAATCACTTTGAAAACGTGGTATTGGGGAAGAAAAGTAAAAGCAAACCGCGAATATACGAAGCACACGCGTGCACAGTAACAATTCTGCCCAAGTGATAAGATCGTGGGAAGAAAAGCCGAAATCTAGTGAAAACACACATGCAAGTTGCAACCACGACCACGACATCAAGGTTCCCAAAGTCTACTCCCCGCACATTGACGTCGTATTCTTGCACTTCATTATTGAAACGATGCCACATGTGGTGCAACTTTCTAGACACGGAGGAGTTGGAGAACTCCTTTGCAATTAAGATATTACATGAGTTAGTTGCCGTATCTCATATCAATCACATCTTGTTAAGTGTTATTAAAATTTTTTGGTAACAAGTTTGAGTTGAGTTAAAATGTTTACCTATTTAACATAACGTTTTGCGTCAATTATACAACACGCGTAAATTTCTCTAAAAAACATTATATTATTAGCAAGAGAAATCACGTTCCTGATATATTTGTGTTATGAAAGTTACTCTCGCATTTGAGAGTTAAAAAGTCAACCAAACCAAATTACGTTACCTTTAGCTTAAGCTTATTAATTGATAATTTACCCATTTGGGTCACATTGATTTTAGGCGCAGGAATGTCTAAAAAGTTTGCCCCAAAAGTAAAGAAAATAGAACAAAGGGCTTTAAGCCCAATCCGCCTAACTTGAACTTAGAGATCCACAATACAAGCCTAACCTGACAACCTCCGTCTCACCAAACTAACTTAATTGAAAATTAAGCAAGTTTGTTGCAAGAGAAGTTCATTTTTCTGGGTTACTCTAAACTTGATACACTCCGGGACATATCTAATCGATGTGTTTCCGGTATACGAAGGAGAAAAACTAACTATTTTAAAATTCAAAAAAATGAAAAATGAGAAAAGTTTACAAGAACTACCGTGTTTAGTGGTGTTCAGCTGGTGGATTGAAGCAGCTTCATATATTTGGAGATTACCGTACCTTTACTTTCACCCGGGCCTCCACGGATGTATGCTTGGATTCCACAGCGGCAACTGGAGATCCTATAATCCTGTTGGGGGGTGCTCTATAATACAAGATCCTTGTTTGCCCTTCATGCGAGAAGACAAAAAAATGGTTAACAAGGAACGTGCAGCAGGGTGGCGGCCAACTTCAACAAGGAGGCTTGACTGCGAACCATGACGTGAGAAATATCCTTTTTTACTCTTGCCTAATCGTGAATTTCTTCTAGCAATTATCACAGCTGCCCAACTCTTTCCTAGTTTCGTTTGGAATTTGCCTGGGGAAAAAGAAGGCAAACAAAAAATAATAGTTACAAATAGCAGAAATCACAAATTTCCCTACTCTAGTTAGCATCAAAATAAATCAATCTAGCTGCTGTCGAAATGAAGAACTCATCCAGCACCTTTCCATGTTCTGTTTGGGAATAAAAATATCAAGAGAGGAAGATAAGAAAGCTAACAAAGTTACAGCAAAAGAATGAAACACTTTTACCCATTTCGTATTCCAACGCTTGCAGAATCATTTCAACCTGGACAGAATTGCATAACCATACTGAATGAAGGGAAATCTTAAGAAATAGTGGAAGGTCTGAAAGGTCTATACGCGTAACTCATGTCAGCCCATATAAGCACGCAGCACGCAAGTAGGAATGAGTATATTTCTTGTGTTGCAACATTACTTTAGTCTAAAGAAAGGTTTGGAATTGGCACTGTAGAAATGAATAGTGTTTCAATCCGAATTTCAGATTAATTACAACCATGCCATTGGTCTTTGTGTTGGTTTTGGGTCAGCAGCTCGGCCCTTAGCTAGGCCCAAATGTGTTGGTTTTGGCTGGGAAGCCTGGCCCTTAGTGATGCCCAAATTATTTAATTACATTTTTGCCCGTCTAAGATTAGAATCCGATGGTGGGGATGGTGTATTATGAAGGGCAATTTTGTCCTCTCCGTTTTGGGCGAGATGGGGGGTCACCGGTTAGGTATCATTTGTTGTCATTCAATTAGGGTTTCAGGGAGGGTCTGCGAGAGAGAGAGAGAGAGAGAGAGAGAGAGAGAGATGGCGATGCAAGGAGAGCGAGGGGGAGGGGGAGGGGTAGGGGTCTCGGCACTGTTGCTGCAGATGGGAGGGTCGGTATGGTCAGAGAATACCATATGGATCGTCGGGATTTTAGGGAGACGGGGTAGGGGTCATCAACAAACCCTACTGAGAGTGGGGTGTGCCGGATCTTGCGTTGCATGCCTCAAATCCAAAGATAAGTTCTTTTTTCAATTGTATTCTTTAATGGTGCCTTAGATTTTCTAATTGTTTAAGTATGTTAGGTCCGGTTTTGGGGGATTTGTGATTTTATGGAGAGAGATGGATAGGGAGATAGAGATTGACAGAGAAAGGAGAAAGCATGGCTATGTGCATTTTTTGGGGTTAATTAATGGGTTGGTGCGCAGAGTTAGTGAGGAGAGAGTGACAGAGGGGCAATATGGGCACTTTTCTTGGCAATATAGTGCTTAGCTTAAAATTAGAATGTGATTAAGTTGTATTGAATTTGTTCGATTAACCATTGGACCATTTATAGTTCATTTAATCTTTTGAATTATAAGCTAATGTGTTGTGTCCTTTACATTTCTTGGTATGTTATTGATATGGAAAACATCATCTATCTGTTCTATTTATCGCATGTCATAAGAATCAAAGTAGACTTGGCATCCTTTTTGTGGCCTTTTTTGTGTTGGCAGATGCCATCAGATAGGCAAAATCATATTGGCTACAAAGTGCAATGAATGCTACAGGTTACTAAGTTTCGCCATATGCCTTCATTGTGGCATTGCCCTTTCTACAACAAGTAAGCATTCTAATTTCACTTTGTGGAATGATATTAAGTTGACTTATGGAATAATATAGAGTTGTGTCATGCATGAAAACTATGAATCCATTTCATCATGCATTTTTTAGTTAAACTACTATGTTTTTGTTCAATTGACTACAATTCATGCCGCAGTTCGCTTCACAAACCTCTACTGTTAGCTTCCATACAGTATGTTGCAAGTTTGAGGATATCTCTTGTTACACCCACCCATAATTTAAATTGTATTTTCACTAAGTTTGAGATTATCTTGCTTTTAAAATGGTTTTTGAGTCTTAAATGGTGTGCCCAAGGGGCCCACCCTGTTTTGTCCCCCGGTTCCCTTTCCATTTTCTTTTATTTTTCTGAAAAGTCTTCCTCTTTCTCTCTTCTCCCTCACTCTCCCTTATCACTCTCTCTCGGCTCTTTCTATCTCAACCCCTCCGAGGGCTTTTCTTACCAACAAACAACACCACAACAACATCAACATCTCCATTAGCACCCTAGTGAGCTTAGAATCGAAGAAAGAACACCCCAAACCCTTCTCTTCCTTTCGGCCGGTACTGTTCATCATCTTCTCCGTCGAGTTTCGTATCGTTCCGACGTTGGTAAGCTTCTAGAAGACCTTGTTTTGTATTTTAGGGTTATATCGAAGCTTGTTTTAAGTTGTGTATACGTTTGAATCGCAGAAAATAGCTCGGAGTAGCTTTTCCAAATTTTCCGGCGAGCATGGCCACTTTCGAGGAATTTTCCGGCCAAACCACTATGCGTTGGCCGGCATGCAAGATATAAATCTCTTCGTCTCGCTGAGTACTACAACTTTCCTTTTTGTTTCACCCAATTTCGTTGAGTATTGAAGAAGTTATACTCATTTGACTCTTACCCAGTTTCCAGCGACCTCAGAGGCTTTCGAGGCAGTTTTCGGTCAAACCATTGCGAGTTAGACGTCTTGTAAGGTACCATTCTCTTTGTCTCTTCTAGAACTACAACTTTCCTTTTTGAATCACTCGATTTCGTTGAGTTTTGACAAAGTTATGGCTGTTTAAAGTTGGTGTAGATTTCCAGCCGAATTCCGGCCTTCTTCTTCCTTGGGTCCGGCGACCCATCAAGAATAGGCCTTTTGGGCCTTTCCTGCCGAGCCCAACCCAAACCCATTTCTTTTATTTATTCATTTTGTTTTAATTTTAATTGGTTAATAAAAAGGCCTTTGGGCCATTTTATTTAGGGCTATAGGCCCGTCCTCTATAGAACCCAAAAACCCTTAGGTTTAAGGCCTTTGAGCTTTAGCGGTTGGGGGCCCTAAGCCCAACCCTAACCTTTTAAATTATTTTTGTTTATTAAATTGATTTTAAAAACCCTAAAGGCCTTTAGGCCATTTTCCTTTAGGGCCTTATGCCCGTGCATCCTAAGCCAACCCATTAAACCTCATTACCCTTAACCTTTAACCCTGATCTGTCCAAACCCTTTATGGGAAATATTCCGTTAGGGAATATTCCATTAGAGAATATTCCGTCAAGGAATATTCTAGGAATATTCTATCAACTTTTACGAAGTTTAAATGAGTCCATTCTTAGGGTAATTCGACGTCCTGAATCCGTTTCCAACATCCGTTTTTCCAAATTCAATTGTTATAATAAAGTTTTATTAATTGGACCATTTATGTGCTTAGGGACAATATTTGTGACGTTTCCATGGTTGCTAGTTTGCGTGGCTCTTCGACGGCTAAGTATCTGTGAGTGGACCTAGGGCTGGGTTCGGTTCAAAACGGTTCGGTTTTTTGCCAAAACCGAAACCGAACCGAAATTTCGGTTCGGTTCGGTTCGGTCCATTTTTTTTTCGGTTTTTTTCGGTTCGGTTTCGGTTTTTTTCGGTTTTTTTTTTTTTTTTTTTTTTTTTTTTGGAAAAAATGAAAACAAAATTGAAATCTAAAATTTTAACATCTCCAACACAATTATAATATAAGCATTCTAACACAATGAACAAAATTTATATGAAAAATGCACACATCTTTAAAATACAAAGTACAAGCCTATCATTCCTAAACATGAAGTCGTTTAATTACCATACCTGTTTCACCATCAACTGCATGAACATTATCAGTAATTTATTTGAAGGACCACAAAGCCATTATCTGGACGTCTAGTATTCAAAGGATAATCTAAAATTGAACACCACCCAGATGGATGGACAAAAAGAACGCTTTGAAGGGAAGCCTAAAATTAATTTGAGACAATACAGATGCATATAACCAGTTTTCTCTAAAGTGATATAAGTATATCTTATATAAATCATGTCAACAAGAACAAGCCTGGATGTTCAATTCTATTTGTTCTCTGAGAAATCAATACCAACTTCATATATTGTCCAGATCCGTTTACAATTTAAACTCTAATACTCATACATAATGTAGTCAAGAAACAATATGCTCTATTGATGCTAGGTTTGATGGAAATCTTCCTTCAGCACCAAAAACGTTATCCATAATAAAACGCTACTCAGAGAATTGCAATGCCTATGCTACTTTTCAGAACACGTTACCAATGAATCTTTGGTCTTTTCCATCATGACTTAGCAAGTCCAAGAGTCCATAACCTAAATGAAAATACATGTTTAACAAGATTTTTACCACTAAAAGAAACAACATATGATTTACAACCTTCAACAACATGTCAAATTTGCAGGGCCATAGTTTCACTTAAGGAAATACAAGAGTCGGCAGAGAAAGAAATTCAAAGATAACAGGTAATCACATATCATGGAAGCTCTGATTCCCAGAGAAATATACTTATCTCCATCCTCTTTTCAAATTATACATAAAAGTAGGCTATCTATCGTCACTACACCTTGCCAAACCATAAAGCTGCTGATTTCCTCCAATAGCCGAGCTTCCACATATATTACCAGCTTGACAGATTACCCCAAAAACAAAATGATAAGTCAAACATGATCAAATTGTTCCCAAATTAAGACGAAGAAAGAAACTGCAAAAGCAGCTCAAAAAAAATCCAACTGGGTAACAAGTAAGCAAAAAGTTCCCAACTCAAATTTAGCATGCAATTAAAAATGAATGAGCAAAAAAAATTCAGAAGTACAAAAAAAGACAATTACTTTCTATTTCCCTAACCTCAAATTTCTCCCCTGAGCAAATTTAACATACAATTAACTGATTAAGCAAAAAAAAATGAATGAGCAAAAAAAATTGTAAAGAAGTGGGAAAGAACACAGAACACCTTGATTTTTGTGTACTTTTCGTAGAGTTTGGAGTAGAGAGCTTCCGTCTGCGAACGAACAAGAAGAAGCTCACGGCGAGACTAACCTTTTGCAGTCGAGACTCGAAATGGCAAGAAGAAGCTCACGGCGAGATGAAGGACTGACGGCGAGGGCGAGGTGTGAGAGATTGAGAGTGAGATGGGTCGCCCCGTCGTGGGTCGCCTGAGATTCAAGACCGAGAGAGACAGAGAGTTTGAGAGAGACAGAGAGTGATTGAAGTTGAAGACCGAGAGAGAGAGAGAGAGGAGGCTAACCTTTTGCTATCGAGACTCGAAACGGCGAGATGAGAGACTGATGGAGAGGGCGAGGTGTGAGAGATTGAGAGTGAGAAGGGTCGCGCTGTCGCGGGTTGCCTGAGAGATTGAGAGAGACAGAGCGATTGAAGACCGAGCGAGAGAGACAGGAAGCTCAGGCGGCGCGAGAGGGTTACTGGGTTAGGGTTCATGGAGGGAGTCTGGAGGCAGGGAACAAGAGAGAGAATAGGGGAATGAAAAATAAAAAAGTTAGGGTTAAAGGATTTTGTTGATTTCTCAACAAAATTAAAAAACAATCTCATAAATCCTAAAGGCATGAGGGTTCGAACCCATTGCCACCAGTGTGAAAAATTTCGCTTAAACCAACTTGGCAACAAGTTCTGTTTTGTTATGATTGTATGCCTAAATTATTTATAATATTGAAAAAAAATTAAATATATATATATCGGTTCGGTTCGGTTCGGTTCAGTTTTCGAACCTCAAAAACCGAAACCGAACCGGTCAGATTCGGTTCGGTTCGGTTTGACAGTTTCAGTTCGGTTTTTTTTCGGTTCGGTTTTTTTCGGCCTCGGTTCGGTTCGGTTGTCGGTTTTTTCGGTTTTCGGTTTTTTGAACCCACCCCTAAGTGGACCCCTTCTAAAATGATGTTTTAATAATAGAAATGCATACATGAAAAGCATGGTTTATGAGATGCTTTGAGATAACATTCTTATTGAGGCTAGTTTGAATTATTACTATTTTTCCTATAACCTACGTTCTTATAGAATATCTTATGGATGACAATATGATATTTAGAACATGTTTCGAACACCTCTTTATAGTATAGATGATGGATGACTTTATACTATGAAGTTGCTTTTCAATATATATGTGTTAAATGGTTTTGTACTTACCTAGTGATCCTTTCCGCTACGGGATGTAGGGATAGATTCCGGTCCGTCCCGGGCGACGGTTTGGTGTTGGTATAGGGCCTGGAGTGTGTTTCCTCTGGCTATTAGCACAGGGACGGGGAGCCGGCATGGGGCATGAAGTGTATTTTCCTCTTACTGTCTGCTCAAAGACGAGGAGCCGGCATGGGGCCTGCAGGTTATCGGACAATTCACTAGTGATTGTTATATATACAAATTATGATTTGAGATATTGCACGACATGCTAGGTTTCGGAAAACCTATGTTTATCATGATATGTGTTTTCATAAAACATGGGGGTTAGTACGTTGATAACTGTTTTATTATATATATATATATATATATATATATATCAACTTGGTCCACTCATGTTTGTTTTGCGCCCCCTTCAGGACTTAGAATCGAGGCATAAAATCCCGGCATCCAGGCATTTCCGCATCAACATCTTCGAGTCCTCTCGATGTAGGACCCACTTCTTTGTTCATTCAATTTTATATTATTTCTTTTATTGTTCTAGTTAGTTGTATGCTCTGAACACGTTCCTTAAATGCATATTCTTGAACTTTTTATATTTATAAGTCTTATCCATCATTTATTCTCAGCATTTGCACTCAATAAATGGCTTTCGTCACCCTCGGATGTCGGCCATCATGTGCCTATCCTGGTATTCAGGGAATATCGGGATCGGGGCGTGTCATCTCTACATCTTAATTTTTGCTCTATGGTTGCTTCAAGTTTGTAATTTTACATGCTACACTGCCACTTGATTTGATTATAAAAATGTAAAACAAAATCTGTCCATGATTTACAAATTTGTATTCGATTTTTGATGTTTTTCAGTGTAAGGCATATGTTGCACAAGTGAGGTATGTAGGCTGCAGAGCATATATTTTGCCATCTTAACTACAAGGGCAAAATATGTGTAAACTGTAGCTTGCTTCTATTTCTTCAGTCTTGTATGGAAACAAACCTTCTGCTTATTTTTGCCTTTGAACAGTTGTGGTTACAAAATTAGCTACTTGAACAAGTCCTCAACACTTTCTATTTTTAATTACCTGTTGAAATGGCTGTCTACACTACATGACACATATTATATGTGTGAACTAAATGTTTCTTCTGTTTCTTAAGGAAACAGAACTTTTTTTGAAACCATCTCTTTCTAATCAAAGACGTTCAATTTCTTCCCACTCATTATACAATGTGTTTAAATGCCAACTCACTTGAATGTATTTAAAAGCAAAACTGTTTATCTTATCGACCTCATCCACTCATATATCCCTTTGTTTGTTCATAATTGTGTTGAATTTATTCATCTTTGAATTTATTCAACTTAAATGTATTTTATTTATCCGATTACACCTAAAACAGCTGGTTTCCGGGGCAACGCACGGGCCTAATATCTAGTAAAGAACTAAATTAGACATTTCATCTGTATGCCTAATATATTGAAGCATGTCCATATAACATTAAATACGAATGCCTAAATATATATACTTTGTCAAGATCTTTCCCAAGATTAGCCTCTACGGACGAATTATTTTCATACACCGTCCAAATTTCTTTGATCTCTCCAGCTGCAGATAAGAACTTTTCCAATTAATACAATTCTGAAAATGAATATTTTCAGATATAAAAAGAGTTGCAGGAAGATAAAAATTAGGGAACTTTAACGAAAAGCTCATGGTATTGTTCACTTTAACGAAAAATCACATTTTTACACTAAAAATTCAATCCTGGTACTATTCACTTTACCCTTTATTTTGTCCTTATCGTTAAAACTTAAAGTTTTCAAACATTTTTCATTAGTTTTCCTTAAAAATTAATGATCAACCCTAATCCCTCCACCAAGAACCAAGCACATTTCATCCAAAGCTGCTTGCTCCATTCTGCTCTTCACTGCTTCCGGTACGCCATCAGATGGTGTTATATCTCCAACAATAGCTGAGAATAGTTCAATAGCAATCTACTATCAAAACACATTTATATATATAGGTATCACACTAAATCCATTGTAAATATAATACAGATGAATAACGTGAAAGAACAAGGGAACAAAAGATACCTTCTGCAGTGTCGTGCACAATTTGTATCTTGATACACCTGTTCTGTTGAGGTAAGGGAAGGCAAAACACGAGAAAATAAGGTACTGCACAGAAAAAGGTCCAAGTGGCATATCAATTACATGTATAATCAAGCAAGTCCGATTAGAAAATGATAAAGAGCATAGGCCATCATATAGCATCCGAACTCCAACCTTTCTCTATTCGAGCCAGGAACGTCACCAGCAATCAAGGACATCAAAGCCATGCGATACATATGATCTGCGATGGACTCTGAACCCTTTATTCCCTGATTGATTGATCCAACCCTTCCTTTTTGTGGTCTACGAGAGAGAGGGATATGATACCCTGAATCTTCTTGCAATTCATATAATGAAGACATTGTAAGAATATGAGTATGAGATAGAGAAGTTTTGGGACCCGTTATATGTATTCAGTTTGATAGAAAAGTCTTGTTAATAAGAGGAATACTTATCCTTGACAAAGAAGGATTTTGTATAGCATTGAGATCAGTTCTTATGGAACAAGGAAACAAGTATTTGTTTCCTATAGGGATTTTAATTGGGAATCCTATCTGTTATGGAAAAGACTATATGTATATATATAGTGGCCTCTCTTCTTACAGAACACACGCTCATATTGGGATTTAAACCTATTTGTAAGTCGAGTTCTTGATCATATGCGAGAGAAGAGAAGGTTCACTGAAAAGCTTGGCGTCATGGCTTCAAGATCTGGAACTGCTGCAGGTATGCTTTTCTTTTTCGTCCTCTCATACACGAATTGTGGTTAATTCTTTTCAGGTTGTAGTTCATGTTTTAATCTTGTTTAGTAATTCACTGCTAACAGACATATTATATACACCCCCACTATTACTACTTCCACGAATCATTTTTCTCTTCATTAGAAAATCCTATCAAGTTTTAAAACTAAAGTTACTAAATTCTTCCCGGCAAGTCAATTTTCCACTTTGTCCCACTTAGTGTATGGATTGCATTCCAAAACATCTCAATCAAGATTTTCACAATATGAAACATGGAGTTCAATTCAAGCACCCATCTGTGTTTGGTAGTTGAGAAAATTCAGAAGTACCTAAATTTTCAACTTTCCTAGCTAGCTCCCACCCAATCTCTCAGAGACTACAACACAAATTTTCAATCTTTATAGACTGCAGATCACATACACAAACAATTCTCCAACTTTCCATTCATTTTATTGATTAATTTCTCGGTAACCAAACATATGGAAAACAAGCAGAATCAGCGCATATCTTGAGACGGTGACACAATGTGAGAAAATCAATGGCGGAGGATGCCGGATGAAGAGCCCGGAGACCCGAATGAAGCATCGGATTCGTTCGAACTGACAGACCGCTTGGAGGCGAGCCGTCCGGACTGGGTGCCTGCCAACGAACGGAAACGCCGGGACTTCGGCGGAAAATCCGGGTCTGGACTGTTGTGCCTTGGCTGGTTCGTTAGTGCAGAAACGAGATTTAGATTACAACCTCATCAAATCACACTCAGTTGAATATAATAAAATACAAGAAATAAAGACACCGAGAAATTTACAAGGTTCGGCAAAAATCCTGCCTACGTCCCTGGAGAGATATTGCTCTTCACTATGAATAACAGTACAAGTACACATGAGTTAAATCAACATAACTCAATCCCGAATCCCTTGCACACCCACTCATAGAATTTTCCCAAGAGCCTCACTCTATCCCAAGAGTTTTTTCACTATAATACTTTTCACTCTAGCTCTCTTGATTTTCTCTCAACCCATGTTCAACCTTTCCCATGGGAGAGCAGGATGCTCTCCCCTTGGATGCTTCTATGATGCTTACCTTCCCACTTTCTAAGCATTACTAAATGCACAAATATTGCATCTAGTTATAAGCATACACTAGCAACTATGCCAACAACCAAGACCAAAAAGTCTTAAGTTCATATGACATAATTATTACCTAGCCTACCTAGCATGCACCAAAGTCTATACCTAATCTATAAAGTACAACTTTTCTCCATTTGTCATTTAATGCATAGAAGAGAAAACATGCACAATAAGACATGCACAATTATGTGCAAGCAAACACAAGGTCAAGTCTTGCTTGCTTCCAACTTTGCTTGTGGCAGTTACCATGTCTTCAATTATTGTCAACATAATTACTCACAAATGTATGGGTCAAACACAACATGGACAAGGTCCGTTGAAGAAAGCGGGAGGCGAACGAGGAGGAACAGAGTGGGTCAGTGGAGCCGCGCAGCAGGTTTGGGGAATTAACTTACGAAACACGTCTAGGGGGCGTTTGTTACAGCTCCTTAGGAGGGACTGGCTTGAACTAGCTTAAATAGGATTATAATCCTGTGTTTGGTGGCTGGCGGGACTAACATTAATGGCACTAGGTGGGACTCGCTTTCACAAACTCCTTCACTAGCCGGTCTTAGCGAGAGACCTCGACACCCATAGGACTAGCTAAGACCTTCCATCGTCCTCTCTTGCCTTCGTCCACTCTCGCTGCATCTTTATCTCCTTCGTCTGCTTCGCTGCCCTGGGTTCATCGACCTCGATTTTCTACGGCATGGGATTCAATGAAAGCTGGAAGTTGGAGAGGCGTAGGGACAAGTAAGTTTACAGAGATTGGAGAAAAGGGAAATAGGAGGGAGAGGCGGAGGGACATGGGGAAAAAGGGAAAGGAGGATGGAGAGGCGGGTGGAGAAATAAGGTTACAGAGAGATTGGAGAAGGGGAAAAAGGGAAAGGGGATGGAGAAAAGGGAAATAGGAGGGAGAGGCGGACAGACAAAAATGGGGTAAAAGGGAAAGGGGGATGGAGAGGTGTAGTAAAAGGGAAAGGGGGATGGAGAGGTGTAGGGACAAGTTAACAGAGATCGGAGAAGGGGAAAAAGGGAAAGGAAGATTGGAGAGGATGATGATTATAGAAGAAGGAAAAAACAAGATAAAGTAATAATAAAATATTAATCAATATATATTAAATTAATATAAAATAATATAATATTGTAATCCTGCTTCTTAGTCCGACACTGCACCAAACGCTTCACTAAACTAGTCTAGCTTAGTCTAGTCTAAGCCAGTCCAGCTTAGTCCCTGAAGCTAATGCAGTCCGAGACAGTCCGGTGCAACAAACGCACCCCTAGGATCTTAACAAGACTACGGTCTTGTATAAATAATTATTAAGTATCATTTTTACTATCTATGTAAATTGAATTTGAGATTTTGCGAATACTATTAAACCAAAGGTTAAATAGTTGAAAGACAGTTTTATTCAAAACTTAGAGCAAAAGTAATTTTTTTGTCGGACAATCTAATACTAATTCATCTTCTACTGTATCTCACCACTTAAACATTTTCTTTGGAAAATTGCATTTTTCCAAATTTGAGGGGGAAAATGTCAACAATGCTATCGTTCAAATTATAAACGTTTAATTATATGAGATCGAGAAATTAAGAGAGAAAAAATAAGTAAATATGTTTGGGTTGATTAGGGATCAAGTTTTAATTAACACTGCAATATAAGAGTCGCTACAAATGCCCCGATTAGTGTCTCAACTATGCACATTCCTAGAATTATTTTTCCTTCGTTTAGCTAAAGAATAAAAATAAAATTACAAAACAATATTACAATCTAACTATATAAACATATATAACAATTAAAGAGTTGGGAAATTGAATGAATAATAAGTACGAGGAATTATCAAAGCATGTTCCATCCTATATTTTCTCTCAAAGTGAGATTCTTTATGATTATCCTATATTTTAATGTTAATTCTTATGTTAATATTATAAATATTATACTAAAAATATGAAATGACAAATAATTTATAAAAGATCATTTTCAAAAGAATCTCTTTAACAATTCTCTTCTGTTTGTACTATGTGGCTCTGTGGCACCGGACCAATTTAACAAACGATCGTGGAAAAGAAGAAATTGTCCTTGTGTGTTGAATTCACGGACTTCTTTTTCTTACATTTTTGATGGGGAATTCGTGGACCTTAAGGTTTTGAGAGCGGCGCAAAAGCGTTTCCCACGGGTATCACAACTCCCATGCCACTCATGCATGCAATGATTTCACTGCCTCAACAACTCTTTTTATAAGACGTAGGTTGTCTGCCATTTCCATCCCGTATGTTTTTTTATCTTTTTTTTATTTCTTTGGTTACAGTTAAATCACGTTAATATTTTATATTTTTATTATTTTTTATCTTATTATTTTTATAAAAAAATTAATATAAAATGTTAATATGACAGTTAAATCACGTTAATATTTTATATTTTTATTATTTTTTATCTTATTATTTTTATAAAAAAATTAATATAAAATGTTAATATGATTTAACCGTGAACACAAAAATATGAATAGATAAGAAGGGTATGGAATGGGGGAATACAGATAATCCAAGTCCCTTTTTATAGAACTTTCTCGACAAACTTGACCGAGTCAAAGCAGCCGAAAATAATTGCACAAGTCATTAGTCTTTCTACGAAATGGTGCTATCTACGTAATGAGAGATTTTTAGTGTGATCGTCACACTAGTTGGTTTATTACGTGTTGTTATATAATTGATGAGATATGTGTGTTAAAAATTTAATAACTTAAAAAGTAAAATTTTTCATCACTTACGTAAAAACACGTAGTGTATCATTCGTGTTCCTATTAAATTAAAAATTTCTCCTACGTAACGGCGTCTGTTGACAGATCTGAGGCTTGTAGGGTAATTGACAAAACGTTTGCTTCTTCACGGAACCAACCACTGAATTAGGATATCGTTCTTGGGATTTATAATATTTTTATACAACTGTATTCTATTTTAAATGAAGAGTGATTGGAATTGAGATTTTTTCGGAATCTTTGTGTCCGCTCGAAAATTCAAATAGTTCAAGAGAGAGATCTGAGGCATTCAAGGACTTGATTTTGTGAATGGTGGGCCATGTGTTAATAAATGTTGCATGCTATAAATGAAGTGGCTTGATTTTTTGGGTCTGTTGGCTCTGTACTCAGAGACCCAGAGAGGATCGCGGCCTATGTCACACAATAGGAAAGTCATAACTATCATCATCAATAAGTCAAACTCAAAACTTCTCACTTACAAATGAAAATGATACATAACACTAGTTAGTAACTTAAGACTTATTATTTACAAATGAAAATAATTACACTAGTTGGTGAAATTTATAATTAACCCTGAAAGACTTGATTAACAATAAGAGCTCATTATGGGTGGCTAATTTAAATTTAATAATTTACGATTAGAATCAATAATTATTGCATTGCTTATATGATTTCATTAATCAAATCGTCTTCAGCCAAGGCTGTATCCAACACAAGATTCACTCTCGTGACTCCAGCTAATTATGGGATTATTGCACTGTTTATACATAATTATGCATAGCCAGCCCTCTAACACTTATATTAATACGTCTGCTTAATTAATATGATTTCTCAAGCCTTTGATCAAACTGGTTTAAACCCGACCAGCCCGGCTCTCTTCCAATCCTTCCTCGGAATAGTACGTCCGGCTGCGTTTAATTGGTATGTTATTTTCATTTTCATTTAGTGTGTGTACCTTACGCTAAAAAATCATCTAAACATTCAAGAACGCGTTTAAACCCAAAAATAAAATAAAACCTCATATATGTCTCTTTTCCTTGATCAGATTGGAAGTTCAAGCATGGTGATGAGGAGCCTAATCAAGTTGTTAGGGACTCTGAAATCAAACTGAGGTTTTTAAACAAAATAAATGCGTATTCAGAAATTGAGAAAACTGAGAGCATGAGGATGGACATGATGCACAGGAAAGCTCAGGCATCAATTGTACCGACTCTGAAGAATGCCGATTACCGGAGGAAAAAGAGCCACGCACATAGCCGCTGATCCGTGATCGATTGAAACCAGAATTTCCCTTTTTATTTATTTGATTTGGAGAGGAGCAAGATATACGTTCTGCAGCTATTTGTTTCAGCGGTTTCTACTGTTTCAAGTCATCAGTGTTTTAAGTCATATGAAAATAGCTCTGCAGCTATTTGTTTAAGCAGTTTTAACTGTTTCAAGTCATCACAGCGCCACTTTGAGGTGTTACAACTTCTTAATTCAGTTTATATTTTGTGACTTTTCTTCTAAAACAAGCGATATTGGAAAAAGACTATTTGTAATTTAGAATATCGGATGTAAGGATGAATGTTTTTAATTAACTAAACTATTAATCTCCTGCTGAATTTTGAGACGTTTAATAAAAAGAAGAAATATAATTACTTGGAAAAAGAAATTAAGTCAAGTCAATAAGATTGTGACCGTATGAAGGAACAATTATATGGATCCAAAAATACCAAACCCAAATTTGGACTGGGACACGCATGCATTTGCATGCACGAAAACTTCTCCAATTGGTCCTCCTGGTCGGTTTATAGTAAAATGGATCATCTTCGGATCTCTTTCTTATAATTCATCAAATTAGGGAATTAATGTCATTGAAATTTGATCTAACGGTTACAAACAGAGCTCTGCTTTAAAAATTATAATAATTTCAACCGTTGGATCAATTTTCAATGACATGGATTCCTAATATGGTGGATTAAGATGAAAAAATCAAGAGATGATCACTTTCCAGTTTATAGCTTCTTTCGTACCAAAATGTTTTGCTTTTGAATTTCTTTCTACAATTATTACATTTCAAAACTCCTTAATGTTGTCGTTGATATTGTGAATCACGGGTCCTACGTGCATTACAGTGATACAATAGGCTAAATCACAAACTCGTACATAATACATTGTCGTTTTAACGTGTTGTCACATCATGATTGCCATAATTGAGCACATATCCATTGATTCTTGTTTATATTCTTTAATTTAGTGGGTAAAAAAAAAAAATTAACGAAATTTTTTTGATACTATTCATTTTAATGAAAAATCATATTTTTATATTAAAAAAAAAAGAGTACGTTGAAAAATATATTAGTTAATACGGTATTTTTGACATATATGTACTAGATTTTGTAGTGAGAT